TTTTTGAATATTATAGATTTTATTTTTTTATTTGTTTGTTATATTTTATATTAATTTAATAGTTAGTTTGTAATTTAATTTTTAAAAGGTATTTTAGAAATTGAGTTTTGTCTACCATTTTTCAAATTTTAAGCAAATTCTTTATTTTTTTATATTTCAAATATTGTAAACTATTTATTATTGTTAAAAATTATAATAATAAAATAATTCTAATAATTAAAAAATATTTAAACTAAATTTCGGGGTCCACCAAACCAGGATGGTTTTCAAAAAAAACTAAAAATTCAACAAACTTGTAAAAGATATTGTGTTTATGCCGAAAAATAGAAAAAAGGCAAAATACCTTTGTTTCTTCATTTTTTTATTTTCTAAAAAACAAAACGACATTTAAGACTTATTTTTCAAACCATTTAAGATATTGTTAAGTGGGTGTATTTATTTTAGTTACAATATCAACGTTGTAAAGAGACTAAATAACACTACATTTATTATAAACACTCTATATTTTTTAACAACCGATTGTAATGATTTGATATAATATCTTTTTAAATAATATTTCGAAAAGTAAACATATAATTCAACTTTTTCATCGTGTTGATATTCTTGATAAGTTTCATATGTTAATCAATGTTTTTATTGATATTTACAAATAATATTGGGACAATTTTTGAATCAATACACTTTCAACAAATGTGTTGTTACAAACTTATTATCTTAATCGAAAAAGAAACGTGTCGTTGTTAAATGATTTTTGAGTACAACAATCGTTGTTAAATATAAAACCTTTTGAATTATTTGTTGTTGAAATGTGATTATTTGACAAACATGAATTTGTTCTTAATAATTGTCACAGTTGCCACTTTTGCGTAAATAAAATAAATACACAAATAATCGTTTAAAATTTAAAAAACAAGAAAATAACTGAACATTTTTTATATTCCAAATATAATCCTGATACTTTCCATGTGTTTTTAGCAAATAAGCTAAGAATAACGGTTTCCAAAAAACTCGATTTGATCATGCAAAGAATTGATTTATTAAGGTTATATATTCAAAAAGTCATCTGATATTGTTTTTTAAATAATAAAGTGTTTAATTTTGATTTTTTAAATAAATTATGAATTCGTTGTTAAAATTTTTATTCATATAGTTTGAGTTGTAACATTAATCACATTATTTAAAAAACGCAACTTTAAAACAGATTATAATGTTACAGTGACTTTATTGTTTTTATTTTTATTGAAATAAAATTTATTATGGCTTGAAAAACTTTGACTAGAATAGTTAAGGTTAAAAGTCAAATAATTTTAATTTAAGTGTCGTTTTATATTTTTCAGCCACGTGTTTACCATTTTGATTTGTAATTGAAAATGAATTGGTTTAAATTTTTTAACTGAAAAAGATAAGTTTTATGTGATATTTTTTATTTTTTGCCACGTCTTAAACAAAAAACTGGAACTTGAAAAACCCTGCTAAATTTGAATAAAAAATAAAAAACTTAAATAATTTGTTTATTTTCCAACACCAGTTGCTCCTGTAGCTTTGCTTGAAGACGCAGCTCCGGGTGGAGTTCCAAACCCTTGTTCTTTGAACTTTTCCCAAATGTCGTTTCTTCTCCTGACAAAATGTTTCTCCTTGAAACCATGTTTTCTTTGTAAATCTTTGAGGTTTCTAATGAAGTCCTCAAAATTATGAATAGTAGTTAAAAACAATTGATCACCAGTCATTTTTAAGTTCTCTGCCAACTTATTAAGAATATCGAATAAATCTTCATAATATTTAAGGTCGAGGAAAAGTTGATTGTATAATTTGTCTCTTGGATGTTTTGTCAAGAATCTCGTATTTTTAACTTTAAGGGAAAATTGTGGGAAATTGTGCATATAATAGCCGTAAAATCTTTCTTTGTTTGACATATCGTACAACTCTCGAACACCACCCAAAAGTAATTCCAATTGTGGTTTTTCCATTTTTTCCTGTTCGATAAAGTTAGATAAGAATTGTTGATTTTCTTGTTCTTTTTTAATAATACTCTCCACATGACCTTGGAGTGCTCTTGGTAACGCAAATCCGAGCCGAGTGAACGATTTGCTCATTTCATCTATATCAAAAATGAACACATCCGAATTCTGTTTTTGGTCAAGTACCAATTTAAGGAATGTTGCCGATGGGAACGGACCTTCAACTGGTTGTGGAGTATGACGACGTTCTCTTGATTTTGATTTTGGACTAGAACCTCCAAAAGGCAGACGTTTCCACACTCCTCGTGTTTTTTCCTTCCTCTTTCTTGTTGTAGTAATGGAGTACCTTCTTCAGTATTAGAACCAGAAGCACCTGTTGATGGAGAACGGCCTCGTGCTGCTCCAGCTGGTGATGGACTGCGGGAATGTGGAGGACTTGGAGGTGTAACCTGAATTCTTGGAGGAGAACGTCGAGGTTGCGACAGACACAGAGTACACAATAGAAGGAAAACCGGTAACATTGATGAAATAAGTGATTATTAAGTCTATTTTGCGTATTTAAAGGAGAAAAATATTTTAAACGACAAAAAATGAAATAAGAAACACGAGTTAATTTTCGAAGATTAATTTTTAACATTATTTTAATGTTAAAAGTTGTATATAAATTTATTCATATACATTTATTTTCCAATTAATGTATTTTGAACAAGATATCGAATAAAAATCTTTATTGTGTTTTTATTGATTTGGTTTATGTTAAAATAATTATTTTAATTTTAACATGAAAAATGAAAGATATTAAAAATGTCAAATTTGAAGTTAATGGTTTTTTCCTTCAAAAATATGACTTCAAAACCATAATATTACTTTTGATAAAAAACAATTATATCAATTAAAAAAGGTATATTTTATATAATCCAAACATTCACAGTTTCTTTTTATAAAATACCACATAAAAATTTTTTATTTGTTAATTCGAAACAAAATTTACTTTTTGACTCTTTTAGTCTGGTGGAATTTTTTTAATTCTCTTAGGTATTCACCTCTGTTGAATTGTGGTTTATCATCTCCATCTAATACATCCTCAGTTTGTTCACCTTGAGTTTCATCTTCTGATATTCTCGAAGGAATTGGTTTACCAAATTTTCTATACCATCGTGCTCTTCTTCTTTTAAATTCTTCTTCATTATATTTCGCTTTTATTCTTAATTCTTTCAATGTTTTAATAAATTTTTCAAAAGTTTCTTTAGTTTTCAAGAAAAATGGATTTTCTATCAGCTTCAGTTCTTCTCCAATTTTTTCAATAATTTCCAACTTGAGTAAGTAATATTTAAGATCTAGCAACAGTTGGTTTGACATGAATCTTTGTGTTATTTCTTTCACTGTTGAGTCCTTTCTGATTGCTCTATAAAGCCTCAATACTGTAATGAAATAATGACCAAATCCTTGAGTATTATCAGATGTATCGTATTGGTTATTAGTAAATTTAAGCCATTCAACAAAGTTCTTTTCTTCTACATTTTTGGTATCAATTATATGGGAAATGAAGACAAGACTTTTAACTTCATCTTCCTTCATTTTGTGAACCTCTTTGTGAAAATCAATGCCAAAAATACGGTCAAACCTCCTTCCTCTATTTTCCAAAATATTTAAGTCATACATAAAGTAATCATGTAATTGTTCCAGAAGTTTCATTTTTTTTATAAAATTTGTTTGTGGAAAAGTTTCTTGAACTTGTTCTTTGGGAGTCACTTCTTCAAGTGAATTTGTTTCTGTTGGTGTTTGTGGAGCAGTATTAAATGTTCCTGATGAAGATACAGCACTTTCTAAATTGGTTGATAATGTTGATGTTGAAGGGGATGGTGGAGGTTGTTGGATTGTTTGTTGTGGGTCTTCTGAAATTGTTGAAACATCTTTTGATTGTTCAACTTTTGGGGGGTTTATTGAATTTGAATTGAATAACAGTAAACAGAATACGATTCCCAATTTCATTCGATAAAACGAAACATAACAAGATGTAACCTTTTTATTTTGAAATTGAAGAATAACTTTTATTTGTGAAGTGAATTATTCATTATAAATCACAATTATTTATTTGTGAACTCTTTTTGTTACTTTAAATATATTTTTATCCAAAGTTAAATTAAAAAATGTTGGCTTAGTTTTTTATGTTTCCTTTAAAAGATATGAATTATTATATGTTCTTTAAATAGAATAATTGATGTAATGTTATATTATAACATTTAAAGCATTGTGATAAACCAAAAATGTTTTCACAAATGATATACCTATTTTGATATATTTTTCTAACTTTATTAAATAATAATGTTTTAGAATGTTTTTCTTCTAACTGTTTTTTCTTCGTCGGGAATAGTTTCCTTTTTTGATACTCTTGCAGGTGGAGGTTTTTTGAATTTTTTGATCATTTTAAGTCTTCTTTTCATAAACATCTCTTGATCATAATTTGCTTCTTTCCTTATTTTTTCCAATTCAATCATAAACATTTGAATAATTTTTAAGGCGTTTATAAACAATTGTTCTTTTTCCATACCAAGCTTCCTTGCAAACAATTTCATTATCTCAACTTTTTGTTCAAAATATGAAATATCTAAGAATAACTGGTTTGCTATCCTGTTTGTTCTTCTTTTTCTCATCTGCTGGTTTTCCAAAACGTTTTGATTGTGTTGTAATATTCTCGTGATATAATGTCCATACCCTTTAACAGTTTTAGTTGTGTGGTATTCATTTTCAATTGCTGTTAACCACTCAACAAATTGTTCTCGATTTAGTGTTCTTGAGTTAATAAATTTAGATATAAAAATTGCATTTGTAATTTCTTGTTCTCTCATTGTTTGCACATCAGATACAAATTCTGGTTCAAATAAATTGGAATACCTTTTTGCTCTATTTTCAAGATTATTAAGGTCGTGCATATAGCGATCATGTTTTTGTTCAAAATCAACTACTTTTCTTATAAACCGTTCGGATGAAAAAGCCCACCAAAATACTTTTCGAACACCAGTGATAGTTGGCTCTGAATCACTTCTTGTTAATGGTTGATGGTCTTCATCACTTAAAGGTGTAATGGATCTACTATTCAATTCTGGTAAACTTAAAGATTTCTTATCTTCATTTATTGAATAAACAACAAAGAAGAAGAAAAATGAGAGTAAAAATACTTTATTCATAACTAATTGATCTTTATTAGGAAAAACTTTTAAAACAAGCTTTGTGTTTATTTATCTTGGTGGTTATGAAATGTCAAAGTTTAACGAGATTAATGAGTTACACATTTAAAAATGACCAAATAGAATAGTCAGTGTTTTAAAACATTATTTAAATATTGAAGTTTTTAAAAAAATAATAAATAACCAATTTGTCTGGTTTATAAAAATAATGCAATTGTTTAACTTATATATAATTAAATAGTTAATAATTAAATTGTATATTTTTTTGTATGTAAAAAACCAACTTTTTAAGAGTTAATTATTTTGATATAATTTAATTATAAAATTAAAAAAATGTAATTAAATTTTAAATACAAGTCTACATTTCAACTTGTTAACGTTGTCCAGAATTCTTCATTTTTCTTTACCAAGTTTATTGTTCTTGAAATGCGCCATAAAACATATGGACTTATCAACAAAAGCTCCATACAAGTCAGTGTTAAATTGTCGCGACGATTTCCTGAAAAAAACGCGCCAGCATTACAACCGAAGTTATTTGTGATGCAAATAAAAAACATTAATTTTAATGTGAGCAAACAAGTTGTTGTTAATCGTTTCAAACGATTCATAATGTATCATCTGTATTTGTGTACGTTCTTCCCGACTTTGCAGGTAATGCCAATGAATAAAAAACATCATATTAAAGTGTTTTTAAACAAAATTGAAAATCGCTTGTTATAAGATTTATGATAATGACAATCTGTACGAACAATATTTTGATAGTCCAAGTACTCAATTGATTAGTTTAATAGCGAATTAATAGAATATATAACACTCGATGATGTGACCGACAAACTCTTTGTTTATCCTTTGATAATTAAATAATTTGATATTGAAAATAATAAAGGGATAATAATCATTGAGAAGTGCACATTAAGTTATACAAAAAGGCGGTTTAAAATGGGTTGATAAAAATAAGACAAGATAAAAACAAAAAAGTGAGTGAATAATTAATAGTTACATAACAACTTTTTATGGAAACATGTTTTTGAATAACATCGAAAAAGTGTATATTTATATTAATATTGAAACAAACTCTCAAGAAAAGAACTTCTTAACGCCTTGAGAAATACTTGTGGAAATACTTTGTTTTGTTGTTTCTGGTATTGCTGTTCGTTCTGGGTGTTCAAGAAGTCTTGAAGTTGGAGGCCTAAATTTGATGTTGAAAGATGACAAACTGGACATTTCATCATCTTTTTCAATATTTGCTTTCCTTCTTAATTTTGTTAGTTTTTGAATGAATTTTTCTAAAGTCTCGGCTGCTTTGATAACATCTGAATTTTCGGTTTGCTTCTTTTCGATAGCTAAACTTTTTAAAATAATATATTTTCTTTGGTAATACCCAAGATTTAAAAACATCTGATTTTTGAATGTATTTTTGTGGTCTAGACCTATTTCATCGTTTGTGTCAAGTCTTTTGACACAATTCAGAAGATTGTGAAAATAAAAACCATATGACGTATCATAACTATCAACATTGTGTTTGAGTGTAATAGCATTTACCCAATTTGTAAACCTTATCATTTTCAATTTTTCTCCTTCAATCAATTGAGTTATAAAGTTTTGCATTTTCATTTCATTTCCTTTTATTTTTAAAACAGTTTCCCAAAAATTGGGGAGAAATACACCTCTGTACCTTTGAAATCGGTTTGCTAAAATGTTTAACTCAAACATATAATTATCGCTATACTCTTCAAATTGTTTGAGTTCTGTCATTAACTTTTCACTGATTTTATTTTGAATTATGTCAACTGTCTGATCTAACGACGAGTGTGCAGATGTATCAGAAGTTGCAGATTGTGTTTTTGATGTATGTTTTGGTGGATCCATTGAATGACATGTCATTAAAAACATAACGAGAAAAACAATCATTTGTTATAACAGATTATACACATAAAAAAGTATCTTTAATTTGCAATTTAAAAATTCAACTGGAATTGTTTGAGTTGGAACGTTTGGTTTGAAATTTGAGTGGAGGTATTATATAGGTCATGGTTGGATTAAAGTCAAATGTTTAACAGAGTTTTTTGATGTTATTTATTTTTTTGTTTTCATTTTTAATAAAAAATTAAAAAGTAAAATATAAAACAAGAAAAACAAGTGTTTAAGATGTTGAATTATTATTATAATACATGTTTCAAAAACATAAATTAAACAAGTATAAAAATACCTTTCACATAATTAATAACATTAACAAATTTCAATTAAACAACATTTAATTTGAGGTCATAGATTGTAATTATTTATTATATTTCAAATATGAAGTTCTTGATCTTTTACATTATATATGATACCTTTTCTGTGTACTTTTATTATTTTAGTTTTTTCATACTCAGACCAACCTACTGAAACTAACCAACCACCTCTTAAACCTGGTGAAAAAATAATGTGGCTTTTAGATGACAAAATGAGACTTTTACTTATGGTTATGCTTGAACAAGGAAAAGAATTCCAAAAGAATATGGTCGAACTTTATGATGAATTGAGTTCACATACAGAAACATCTGATGAAGCTTTTATACAAAAAACTGTTGAAATTTCAGAAAATGAAAAAGAATTTCAACAAAATATAAAAAATGTATTGAAAAGGAGTGGTTGGTTTGCAAGTGAAGTCCAAGAAATATCTTTGATTGTAATGGATGTGATGAAATATGCACAAGGATATTCAGGAATATATTATATTTATTTGGAAGGTCTTTATGATATGATTAGTAGTTGTAATAATATCAGAAGTTTAACAATAAATGAAAAAACGGTTTTAATGAAGAAGTTGATGCTTCCAAGAAGTTATTTCAAAAAGATGAAAAAGATGTTTAAATTGTTATTAGAATATTCAGTATTTGCTAAGAATGAAAATGTCAAAATTGCACTCAATTTGGTTGATAGATATAAAAGAAAAGCCAAACCAATTTTGAAAAAAATAGAAAAAACATTTAAAATTACGGGTAACGACAATGAGTTTGAAATCAAAAAATTCGAAATTGAAGCTAGACATGATGGAAAAAATCTTATGTATTATTTGAAGAAAAAGGAAGGTGTTACTACCCAAAGAACTCCAGCTCAAGTACCACAAGAAGGTGCAACACAACAAAGAAGACGAGCAGATCAACCATTAAGACAAGAACAAATTCAACAACAAAGGGAAGTGTTTGGTCTTGAAGGAAGAAGAGATGAAAGAGCACAACCTAATGTATATGAACAAATTCCAACTCCACCAACACAACAAATGGAACAAATGAACATAGGAGGTGAAAGACAACAAAGAGAAGTTGAACACAGACAGCTTCCACAAGTTCCAAGATCAAGAACGCCTTCCCCGAGACCAAGAGGTGCTGAAGGCGGCACTGAACATGTTTATGAAGAATTACCAAAGTAATTTATTTAATACTTATAAAATGGTGTTTTCAATTATTCACATATAATATATAACATTATTATTTTCAATTATTGATTGTAACTGTTGTGTGTTGGTTTGGCTTTTTGTTAATACAAAGAAAAATCATATCTAAACAATTGTTATTAATTACATTGTGCAACCACTTCGATATCTTCATTTTTCATTCAAAAGCTATTTGTTGATAATTACATATAAGATAGATATTATTCACAATTGTTTCTTTCTTGACTATCATTTTATAATTTTTTATATTACAACACATAGCAGTAAACATGCATATTTCGATAATACCACAAATATTACGAATAATTTAAATGGAAACATTTATAAATTAGTAATTATAATTAATTTGATAACAACAGTCGGTGTATTAGGTTCTACTGTAAGAGGTGCTGAAACACTCCCACCAGTCCCCGTACCTACTCAGCAAAGAGCAGAATCTCCTACCCAACAACCAGTGAGAGGTGCTGAAGGCGGTGCTGAAACAACAGAAACTCATCCCGAAACCAAATATTTACGAAGAAATTCCACACATACCAAGTGATGAAATGAGACAATTAACATTAGAACCTACTTCTCAACATGTCGCTCAAAGACCACTCCCTGCTGTTCCACCACAAAGAGCAAGAACTCCAACACCAAACAGACCAATCCAAGGTACTCCTGAAAATGTAGGTGAAGGTGAACATCCATATGAAGCTGTACAACGTAAAAAAGACAAGAAAAAGAAGAAGGCAAAAAGAGAGTGGCTTTAACTGAATAATATTTTTTAATAAATTTAGTACAACCCTGGTAATAACATGAATCCCTATTTATATAACAAAACAACTTTTTCATGAGGTAAATTATTATTAGTTAATTTATAGTTATTTATTATTAAAACATAAACAACAATATATTTGTGGAATAAATCAATAATTGTTCCTTTCAGTTTGTAAAAATAACAAAATTCATTGAAGTCCATAAATTAAAATTTGGTCTGGTAAGCGGCCAAAAAATTTTGGAGTGATTCCCGTGAGTTTTGTGAATATCTCGAAATCCTTTTCACAGTAAGGGAAGTAAGAGACGTTTTTTAAATGTCGTCCTTCCAGTTCCAACCCAAACATGTTTCCAATCACAATGCGACTTGAAGACAGAACTATATTTTTGTCGTTACCAAGAGCCATTTTATAATGCTTTCCATCAGTAACACTTTCATTTTTAATCAATAAAACCTCGAAAGAATCAAGCTTCACATCTTGTGCCAAATTCATTCGATTGATATTGATATCCCTATACTTAGTTTCATCCACCACTATTCTTAAAGCTGTAATTTCTCGAGAGTTGTCGCTGATAAAAAACACGACCGTTGATTGTGTGGATATTATAATTGAAAACAATAGTATTGGATCCATGGGCATTTTATTCGAGTCAAATAATAATTTTGTGTAATTCAATAGACTCTCGGGAACGTAGGTGTATAACTTTTGGTCGTTGGCACCAAGAAGAGAGTGATTTACAACAGCTGGTTTGTTTCCCATTTTGGTTCTTTTTAATAGTAAATTAAATAGATTGTAATTAATAGTATATTTGTTCTATTTTTAACTATATTATTTGAAAACTAGTAACTAATAAATAAATTATAAAAAAATTTAATTCACTATTAACTAAAAATATTTTAATTAATTAATTTTAATCGAATGAAATAAACATGTGTTTTATTTTTATTATATTTGTTGATAATTTAAACTTAAAAAACATAATTCATCACAAAATGACGTTTAGATTTAAATTAAATAATTTTTTAATAAATTAAAAAATAAAGTATAGTAATTATTTAAAACGTTATTTTTTCATTTTATTTATTGTAATAATAACAGAAATTAATTATATTTATAATTAAATAATACCATCCAATTATAAATGGTTTATTTAATTTTTATATTATTAAGTTATAATAATATAAAATAACATTATTTTTCACAATTTGTTTACATAAAACAGAAATTCCATAAAATTAATTTCTTATACTTTTCGATTAAATATAAAGTAACCTATATCTTTTTGAAAAGTACATATGAAAACCATACGATTTACAGAAAAGTGTGTTTAAAGTGTTGGTTTTCAATTTCATTATTTAAAACTATGAAATATTATAAAATAAAAAGTTGTTTTAAAAAGTTAACCTCAAAATCCAACATTATGTAATAACCTGGGAAAACAATAATTTCGTGTAAAAACAAGAACAATAAAATCAAATACTATAATTCATGATTATACACTTTGTTTTCTTTTTCGTGTTATATTCAAAGGGTGGCAACGAAAAGAAACCACACATATCTTCTCACAACACAATTACTTTGGAACCAGTAACAATTTCAGAAGAGTTAAAAGATATGCTAAAAGAGGAAGATAGAAGACACAACACATACATGTTTGATTTAAATATACTCCACAATAGAGTCAGACGTCTGCGAGACATTTTTAGACCACAGGATGACTTTCAAAGACTTGTTGAAAAAATTAAAGAAAATGAAATAAACATGCAGACTTATTTAACGAAACTCACTGAAGGAAGTTTCATTGAGCCAAAAGAATTTATTACTTGGGCTAAAGTGGTTATGAGTAAGTATGACTTGAAAAGAAGAAGATGCACTTATAGAAGGTACTTTAGAAAATTAAATTATTATTACCATAAAGTGATGCTCAACAGAGATATGGGGGTGTTTCCAAAAAAATACCTCTCGAATCAACTTTTCCTTGATATGGAATATTATGAAAACAAATTACTTGTGTTAAGTCAGTTGGTTGTAGAACTTAATGGAATGGAAAATTATTATGCGAATGGTGCAATGCAAATGATGAAAAGTTTCATTCAAGCTTTAAAGGAAGAAAGAGGGTCTTTGTTTGATCGGAGGGTCTTTAATTTAAGAAGATATGATATGAAAGGGAAATTTACAGAAAGGGGTTCTCCAGAACACGAAAGTGATTAAGAAAATAACTCCTAAATTACTTTTTATTCTGAGAGTTATATATCAAAGTAAAAGAATTTAAATGAAATTTTTTAAAAAACAAATTAAATGTTTTTAAAAATAAAACAAAATGTAATAAACATGTTTTATTTTTTATAAAAACATTATATAAAGGATTATAAAAACCAATTTCAATTCTTAACACTTAATTGTCAAAAAGACGTTTTTTGTCCGCCCTTTTGATTTTTTCTAATAGAACTTAAAATAATCTTTTAATTTCAACATTAAAATTATTAAATAATTTTATAATATTTTTAATAGTCGTAATAAAAACCTTCAATTATATAAAAATACATTAAGCCTTGACAAGAGAATAAAAATGTAGGGAAGTAGAATAGCAGCTCGAGTCAAAGCTGATAAGTGAGCCACTTAAATAATATGATCAAAGCTTGGCGGATAAATAGGTGTCTGTCTTGACTTCAACCGCCATTCAATTTTTTAAGCTAAGACTGGTTTAATTTTATAGGCTTTTTACTATTATATTAAAATTTTTATAAAACATTATATTTTTGAATACTTTTGTTATTTTTGAACATCATTTCTTAAAAACGCATTTTGTATACCTTTTAAGTGTTAAGATAATTTCAACAATATTTGAATGAATTTAATTAATAAAAAATTTTGTGTTATTTTGTGTTACCTGACACTAGAAATAACCTTAAACAAAAAATATAATATTATAATTAAGAAATTTTGAGTTTATCAATACTTTGTCCAATTATTTTAATTTTATTTTGTTCCTTACATTTTAAGGTGACCTTCGAGATTGTCACGACCCAAGTAATCCTAAGATCTTTTGGGTCGAATTAATTATTTTTTTGTAAATCGGCATTTTACTTTTCTCTTTACCAAATAACAAAAAAATATTTTTTAAAACTTCACATTTTTTTTCTGAATTTACACATTGTTGAATTGATTATATATAATCACTATTAACTTTAACAGATCGTGTTATCAATTTTCATAACGAAATTATCAACATAATTAAACGTTCAAATAAACAAAAATCAAATATACAACAGTGTTGATACTTTAATAATTCTCAAATTAAATATCCACTTAAACAATAGTTGTTTATTACATTGAATTTATCGATTGTAAATAATAACTTTGGTGAAACAATTATGATATACATTAAAACAAAAATAAACGATTATCATCAATTTCATTGTGTAACTACGTCGATGTACACAATTTTCGTGAAACGACTTTTGTTGATAATAACATGTAAGAGAGTTGTTATATTCGATTATTCTTTTATAACTATCGTTTTCTTGTTATTCATGTAAAAACACATATTTAAACATATATACCTTAGTAACACCACAACATTTATTATTATATATAATAGAAACATATATTGATTATTAATTTCAATAATTAAATAACAACAAAATGTGTATCAGGGTTCACTGTTAATCACAACATTTTCCATTTTTATAAAATGTCAAAAATAAAACGTGATAAATTTTAGTGTGAAAACGTGTAACATCAAACCTGAACTTAAAATCATTACATTAAAATTACTGGAATAACACAGTTTAGAACATTTTTGCTTATAACTTGTTGCTCTCTCGCATATATACATTAAAATATAAAAATAAATATTTTATCATCAAAAAGCAAAAGCAGATGATACAAAAATTTTAAAATTGATTCCAGTTCTTTGTTGTGGTACATTAACTTGGTTGTTTCAACAAAAATGAATACACTTTCATGATTATTTTAAATATTTATTCTATAAGTATTTATCTATTTTAACAATTATTTCTTTAGATCATACATAAAAGTGCATTAGAACATAAATGTTTGTCTTTTGGATTTATAATACGATGCACATATTATTTAGTAATACACAAACATTTAATAACAATTCAATTGCTTTCAAATTGAATATTAATAAAATAGAAAAATATTTTTAATTAAATTTATAAAATATATTTAATCGTATCAAAGAGACAACACCAATGTAATAAAAAAACAAATTAGTTTTTTATCAACATTTTAATTTGTTCACGTGTATATTTGATTATTTATCATAAACAAACTTCACGTTGTTGTTAGTTATATTAACCAGTAAATATATAATTTATTTTTATAACATGTACACAAGGGTGTGAACCACAAGTCGTTAAAAATAACCATTAACATTCTTTTCATATTATAATATTTATGTATTTGTTTAGTTTGAAATTATATGTTTACACACTCAAAAAGTTTACACATTTAATAATTTTATTATTTTTACAATGAGCGTATAAAGTATATAACTAACCATTTTATATTGATTACCATAATAAAATCTTTAAAAATAGCTGTATAATCATGTTGTTATTTCACTATTCAATAACAGTTGTAATGTCATTTTTAAATTAGTGTTATTTGTGTGTGTAGTTAGACATAATATATTAAAAATATAATATACATTTAATAACATTATTTACATGTTATTATCGACAATGAGTTATTGAAAAATAATCATTTTTATGTAGTTACACAATTAAAATGGTCACACTTGTTTAGAATATAAAATATATTCATAAATCAAAAATATGTCAAAAATAATTGTTCTCTTTGGTTTATGTTTACATCAACAATTCCATTTAAACATGATTGTTAATTATTTGTTTATCATTCCATGTCTTGTCATATTGGTAATTATGTGTGGATATCAAAAACTACATTTTTAATATGAAATACAATTGTTTAAATATAAATATTTTAAAAGAAATACAATTATTTTTTTGTTTACCAAATAATTTTTTTTGTAATCACTTTTTTTAACATAAAAAATAATTAATTAATTATTTTTTTATATTTACAATTATTTGACACGCATTTCAAACCTTTTTTTACAAGTTCTTAATTATTTTACGTATGTTTTTGACTTTAAATAATTATTGTCAGCCCAAGCATTTTGGTGGATCTTCGAGGTCACCTTTACAACTGAAAAACAATTAATACATCCAAGTAAAACAGATTAACCTTGGCAAGTCAACTGAATCAACTTTTTTTTGTAAAAAGGTGAAATCTGGATTAGATTTATCAAGATCATAATTTATTTTTAGAATAATTAAAAATAAATTCAAAACACTAAATCGATTAGTTTCACGCAAACTACTAGTCTTTACAGACCCATGTTTCCTATTTTCCATGTGTTCAAAATAGTCAACACTTGTTGTTAAGAGACATACACATAAATTTTCATGAGAGCGCTTCGATTTTTATCAATTTTTCATTATTTAAATTGGTTTGTGACACGCAGTTCTTAATTTAAGATCTTTTTAGTTCAAATACAAAAATAAAAAAAGTGACTTATTTTAAGTAAAAAAATCAAGGATATAAATTATCCACTTTTCACTTCGTAAGGTTAAAAAACAAAGTTGTTATTGTAAGTGAATTAAAATTAATTATTTTTGAATATATTTTGTGTTTATAATCGTTATTTGTAATTTGTTTTTTTATCAACATGTTTTAAATTTGTAAAATTGAAATTGTAAATAAATAATCAATTCTATTGTTATTATTAATTAAGAGAAAGGACGGACATGGGGACGAAGGACGGGAATATAGGCCGAAGGACGTCCTTTGTGGTTTAGGGATGTCCTCCCGCTATAAAGGGCGTCCTTTATGTGTATATGGTGTCCTTTCTATTATTTTCGTGTCCGCGGCATTTTTAATAACTATATAATGAATTATAATATTACCATGAATTTACTATTATAAAATATAATAATTTCCAAAAATAAATAAATCAAAGACAA